GTGTGTGTGTGTGTGTGTACATGCGGGCGCAGGGTTGGAAGAAGAGTGGAACGTTTGACCAGCATGAAAAATGCACGCAGGCATGTACAAAGATGAATGCTGTTAGACTTCCTGTTCTCTCAATGCCAAATATAGAGTTTAATACTGGAAGTACTACCTTTACCCTTGCTGCATCTTTTAAATAACAAGTACATGATTGTAGAAGCTTACTAATGTCAAAAATGTCCGGTCTCTTATTAGAGACTGAAATAGAAAGGCTAAGTTGTATAGTGTTACAACAGTTTTATAATCAGTACAATGTTAAAACAAGTTCACATATTTTTAGTAAAAATAGTATCAGAAAGCAGGAAATGAACATTAAGTTGCAGCAATTGCAAGCTGGTCAGGAAGTTGCATAAAATTAACGGGTATAGTTTCTTTATGTGGCCAATATTCTTTGAGTAGTCTCCAGCTAAATAACCTGTCTCCTATTGATGTCTTCAGTAGAATGTAAGTATATATTGTTATGAATAGATTATCCAAGTGAATTCTGCATTTTGAGTGCTGCAATATAGGTTAAGCTAAAGCAAACTCATTAAACACATTTGCTACTGTACAGATTGTGTACCTGTATTCAGTTCTATTGTAGATTAATGGTGGGGAGCTAGTCAAGAAACTCTCCTACTCTTATCATGTACCATTAGGCATATTGAAAAGATTTGCAGGTTGACAATCCGCCTGATTTGCCTAATTCTCAAATGCATTTTTCATGGCCTTAGTTCTGAAATGGAACTTGTGCCAAAAGTTAGGGAGACTACCTCTACATCGGAGGACCTGTCTTTTCAATCTGCCCTTAGTTATACAAAACTGTGTTTTGACATGATTCAGTTTTCGACATGAAAACTTGAAGGAAGATGCTATCACAGTGAAATCAATCATCTGAGAGCTCCTTTGTACAGGAATTTCTTTTATTGATGGACAACATAAATATTTTTAAACAATCAACTTTGCAAATATTCAAGAATAAAAAATAAATTAAGTACGTAGTATGAACATTGATAAGTGTGTTTTTCACCTGCATGTAGTTCTAACACTTGATATGCAATACGCAACAGGATGTTAGGAATGACAAGTTGTTTCAATTAATCTTGATGTTTATTCATGTCTGTTTTGTTTTATTTTGTTTTACATTCAAAGGACTTGTTATTGTGAAATGAAATATAAATTATCTTAAATAACAATGGTATTATTCAGTGATAACACAGTGTAGAACTGGAGGAACACAGCAGGCCAGGCAGCATCAGAGGAGCAGGAAAGTTGACGCTTTGGGCCGGGATCCTTCTTCAGAAATGGGGAAGGGGGAAGGGAACTCAGAAATAAAGAGAGAGAGGAGGCTTGGGGCTGGTGAAGGTAGTTGGGATGGTGATAGGTGAGTGCAGGTAGGCAGTGGTGGGGATTGGTCAGTGAGGTGGGAGTGGCAGATAGGTGAGATGAAAGATGGACAGGTTGTGTCAGGTCAAGGAGGCGGGAATGAGATGGAGGGTTGAGGCCGAGGTGGGGGGAGATTTTGAATCTGGTAAAATCCATGTTTAGGCCATTGGGCTGTAGGATCCCGAGACGGTATGAGGTGCTACTCCTCCAGCTTGTGGGTGGTGTCATTGTGAGGAGGCCTTGGGTAGACATGTCACCCAGGGAGTGGGAGGGGGTGTTAAAATGGGTTTGCAACCGGAAGGTATTGTCGTTTGTCGCAAACAGAGCACAGATGCTCTACAAAACGGTCTTTGAGCCTCCGCTTGGTCTCACCAATATAGAGGAGGCCACATCAGGAACAGTGGATGTAGTCGACCACGTCAACGGATGTGCAGTTGAACATCTGTCTGATGTGGAAGGTTTGTTTTGTGTTTCTGCATTAACTCTTTAAACTCCCCCTCCGCCTCCCTGGGTGACATGTCCATCCTGGTCCTCCTCCAGTGTCACAATGACGCCACCCGGAAACTGGAGGAGCAGCACCTCATATTCTGCCTCGGGAGCCTACAGCCCGATGGCCTAAATGTGGATTTTACCAGTTTCAAAATCTCCCCAACCCCGGCCTCATCCCATGACCAACCCTCCGTCTCAACCCCACATCCTTGATCTGAGACAACCTGTCCATCTTCTCTCCCACCTGTTTGCTCCTCCCACCTCACTGACCAATCCCACCACACCCTACCTGCACTCACCTATCACAATCCCACCTACCTTCCCCAGCCACCCCTCCTCTCTATTTATTTCCCAGCTCCCTTCACTCTCCCCCATTTCTGAAGAAGAGCCCTGACCTGAAATGTCAACTTCCCTGCTCCTCTGATGCTGCCTGGCCTGCTGTGATCCTCCAGCTCCACACTGTGTTATCTCTGACTCCAGCATCTGCAGTTGTTACTATCTCATACTATAATTCAATGATGTGCTATCCATAATTTTTAAAATGTGCAGTGTATGAATGAGTGTAGACATGATTTATAGAAGTAATTTTACAAATATTTTCTATTAATTCTAATCTGAGCAAGAAATTCTCAAACAATTTTAGATAAAACACATTTTTAAATGTTTTAATATCATTTGATACCCTCCTTTTAAAAAATACTACTTGGATCAAGCTTCTAATTAGCAGTCTCATTACCAATTTGTTTGGTACTGTGTCAACTTTTATGTTACAACACTGTTAGGAAGCAACTTCTGTTCTTTTCCAATATGTAATGTGCTTATATACATGTAAGTTATATTATAGCGATGTATCAAGACAGCATAAAGAAATTATTCAGTGTGATATACTTCCCCAGATACATAAAACAGTATGAAAGATTTTCCCATGATTGAAGATACCTTAATTACATTTTCTTTAGGCCCACTATATCAAGTTATCAATTGGACCAATAATTAAACTTCTTGCTTTCACTTTCGTCCTTTTCCCTTGAAAAGTTAATTTACAGGCAACACTCTACACTTTAATGAACTTCTTTCTAAATTACTGTTTTTCTTTCCCCTGTTACTTTGTTTTTACAGTTCCTTAAACTCCGTACAGGAGTTTGCACCTCAAAACTGCAAGGCAATGGCGCAAGATTCTCTCCAGGAACCCCTTACGGAAGTAAATGGAACCGCGCTGTATGAAGAGTATACGAGGTCAGTTTTAGTATTTCACAATCTTTCATTTATACTTCTGTCAAAATAGTTTATTCTGAATTGCCATAGTAATTGTGCTAATGTTGTGAAGGATGGCACACGTGCACTAATCTTGAGTATTTCAGGTTTATTTTTAATTCTTGTATTCAGTGCTTCAAAACCACTGAATATACTTTGAATGCAGCTCTGGTGATTGTAGCAAAAAGGTGACTGGAAAATTTGATGTCAGTGGACTTGAGCAGAGGTATTTGTATTTTATAATTTCTTTATGGCACCATGAATGGTAATGTAAGCTGCGTCAGCAGTTTAAACTCAGAAATTCAAAGGTTACACAATGGCACCTCCAAGAATGTATTCCAAAAATGGAAGATGAAGCTCATTCCAATTTGGGGGTTCACATCTTTTCCACAAAACCAACAAACTTCAGGTATACAAAAGAAAAAGAAGACGATGACTATATATTCAAGGGCAGACATCTGGGTTGATAGAAATTGCATGACCTTCACAAAATGAAGAAAGTTTTGAAGGTCAGTTGCTACAGCCCTAAAGGCATGCCAGGGGGTCTTACGCACGCAAACTTATGTACAGGGTCAAAATGACATACTTATTGTTAGAGACTGAGTGCCAGACCAGACTGTGATTCTCAAGTTCTACAGTTACACCTTTCTGTGAGATGCTAGTTCCAACTATAGATAACACAGTGTGGAGCTGGAGGAGCACAGCGGGCCATGCAGCATCAGAGGAGCAGGAAAGTTGACATTTCGGGTCGGGACCCTTCTTCAGAAATGGGGAGGGCAAAGGGAACTCAAATAGAGAGAGGTGGTGGGGCTGGGGAAGGTAGATGGGATGGTGATAGGTGAATGCAGGTCGGCAGTGGTGGGGATTGGTCAGTGAGGTGGGAGGGGCAGATTGGTCTTGGAGAAGATGGACAGGTTGTGTCAGGTCAAGGAGGTGGGGAATGAGAGGGAGGGTTGGTCATGGGATGAAGCCGGGGGTGGGGAGATGTTGAAACTGGTAAAGTCTACATTTAGGCCATTGGTCTGTAGGCTTCCAAGGCCAAATGTGGACTAGTTCAAACTATGTTGGGGACCGTCCAATGACAGTGGTCCGAAGGTAACTGTTGCCATGAATTTCTTTGCACGTGGACCCCTTCAGGCTGTTGATGTAGTGATCTAAGTGAAGTAAAACTGTCAGCTACCACTGCAATGCTCAGGCAGGCTGGGTCATGTGGATGGCAACAGTCACATGGAAGGACAGATTGTGGCTGATGGTGTGCTTCCCAAGGCCTTGGGGTATGATTGACCTCATACATGTTACCATCAAAGGCTTCAGCATGTAAGAACCATGTCTTTTTATTTGTGTCTTTAAAAATAGTGGATTGCAAGGAGACAGAATGTCTTCAAATAACAGATTTACCAAGATGGTTACATAATTTCACAGCAAGAAATTCACTGCCTGGTGTGAAATCTCTTTTGTGAGCTGGGGAGTTGTTTACAAGCGAAGCTAATTGGTTCACAGCTAACTGAGCAGGTTGAAACTGAAAACAAGTGACAGAGACACAAACACAGAAAGGAGGAGGGGTGGCGGGAGAGATAGAGAGAGAGAGAGAGAGAGAGAGACTCAGAATGACGTGCAATAGTGCTATTCTCCTCAGCAGAATTTGCCTGTTTTCTGCAGTAAAAAAAGATTTCTGCAGCAGTAGCAGTGAACTGTGACATTTGAATCGATAAATTAGAGACATTTTCCAAGTGATTCAGCCTCTCTGTACTTCTTACAAGCCACTAGAAGTTTCCAGAGAAAGACAACTGAACACCAAGGTTAGCCAGAGTCTCAAAGAATCATCTCAACATCGGAATTGGGAAGCAAAGACCTCTGAACTGACTTTTTTTCTACCTCTGCTAATAATTTATTTTTCTTACTTGCTTGTCTCTGTGTAT